ACAATGGGGAAAGTAATCCAATTATCCAGGGATAGAGGCAGACTCCATTAACCACATGTTAGCAAAAGACACAAAGACACAAAAATACATAACTCCTATTGAACTGAACAGAACCCCCACATTCAACCTATCCCCAGATGGCTTGGATCTGAGCGCTCAATATATCCAAACAGCGCTCAGATCCCACAAATACAGTCAAATCGCCATACACACTAGGTCCATAGTCATGGGGCAGAAGGCTGGCAATTAGGCTTCTCCATAACACAGGGAAGCAGGGCAATTTGTCAAATAAAATAACAGTTACAAATGGCAGTCTGTAACAGAAGGTAATTGAAGCTCAGAATATGGTTCATCAACTATTCTAACTTCAACAAGTCAGGTAATGACTGTCCAATGGACTGCTGAAACAATTCTGTGGCAGACCAATTCTGTGGCAGGTGGCTGAATAACTATCCCTTGTTTGACTTAAATGTATAAAATGCAGGTTTGCTACCCCATGGATCCTCATTTAGTAAGTAAACCGAATATTAGCCAAAAATAACACAGGCACATGAGAGCTGGAGGGATAGATGGAATTAGGGCAGGCTTGCAATACACAGTGAGATTGTCTCATCAGGTTCAAGGAAATAATAGACACTTTCAAGAGAATGGTTGGTGTTTTAGAAAATTACCAGGATTTTTCAAGAGGTTTTTGTTTTTTTCAGGAAGAGAGAAAATAAGATCTCTGAATTACTGTTATCTAACGGGAGGCTGTGCTTAACCCAGAGAAGGGAATGTAGAAAATACAATCATCAAAAATAAGAACAGAACGGGTCTGACAGGTGATTAATATTGCACGTGTAACTACAGACTGCGCAGCAAGCAAACATTGTCTGCAACGGCAGACTAAACTCGCCGAGTTATGTTAGCAAAAGGGCAGGAGGCTTGGGACAAAAGATTTGCTCATGACCTATGCAAACGATTCGCAGTAAAACTCCTGGAGAGATTAGAATTGAACTCTCATTTACAAGCG